TTCTACAGTCAGGCCATGGCAGGACCGCGCAAGCCGCGATGCGCGCGACGTTACCTTGCAGCTTGTGCAGTGCATGGGTTTAGGGTTTAGGGTTTAGGGTTTAGGGCATGCTCCATGCAACAGCACGGCAAACCTTGAACCTTATAACTACAAGGTTCCTAAAAATCATTTTTAATTTCTGTTACCAACAATCCTAATATTCAGCTAAAATTGTAATTTCTACTGGGGCTCCAAATCCCTTAGAGATAAACCCCACAACCTAAACCGCTCATAAGTCCGCAAGCTCCCGAGGATGTCCAGCCTTTTGTCCAGAGCGGCGGCCCCATGATCATCGATCCGCGCAGGCGCGTCCATGAGAAGTTTTGAAGGTCTGAAGGTTAAGGTCTTAGCGTTGGGGGGTTCAGGGTTGAGGGTTTAGGGTTTAGGGTTTAGGGCCTTAAAGTCGCAGTTGTAAGAAAGAGCGGCTTGGGGTTTAGGCTTTAGGGTTTAGGAGAAGAGGCCTAGAGCTCTGAGCACTTTTTCCTCCAACCCCCTTGCAGCCTGAGATCTAAAGCTCAAACCCAGTATGCTACAGCAATACTAGGGCTTTCAAGGGGTCTCATTGGAGTTATTCAGGCTTCTAGATTGAAGTTGAGGGTTCATGGCTGATGGTCCCTGAACCCGAACAAATAAACCCTAAACCCAAGTTATGGTACAATATCTCATTCAGGCTTTTCTACGAGCGCGACTTCTCGAAATCCCTGGATGCGTCTGTGGTTCAGGTGGATGGCGAAATGGACTGGGTGATCCTGGGTTCTGTGGAAGAAGGCTTTTGGGTTTAGGCTGCACGGTTTAGGGTTTAGGGAGATCTTTACATGGTGCTGCTCATGGCAGGAAATCCTGCACCACCCAGATCCCTAAAGTCTTAGGGGTTGAGGGTTTAGGGGATTACAGCTGTTGGGGGTTCAATTGGTGTAAGGTTTTTATTCATCAGCGGTTCCCGAGCCTCGAAAACTATTTCTGGAAGCTGTTGTGCGAAGTCCCAAAAACTGTTGTCGGTGGCTTGGCTGATGTACAACACTGAATCTATTTTGGAAGATTTTCGACTTGTTGCTCTCAATATGTCCATAATTCAAATTTCTCACCAAGACCCCTTCTCATTGTCTAAGCCAGTACATCATGTAAAAGCGGGGTCACTGCTACGTAGGTTTACCTTACCTTCTTGCACAACAACAATGTGGATAATGGGAGTTAAGAGAGACTACGCAGTCTGAAGCGCACGGTTCCCACAAAAGTTGGGCAGGGTTCTGAGTTTCGTGTCTAGGCCTTCAACCCTATACCCTAAACACTTAAACCCTAAACCCTCCGAAGGATCCTTTACCCAAGAACCTCAAGGGTTCTGTGTGAGGTTTTGTCATCACCGCCTCTAAGACATTTGAGTAGGGTTTAGGGATTTAGGGTTTAGGGTTTAGGGTTTAGGGTAATTTGGGGATATTATGGTACCCAACATAGAGTAAGATTCTATCCTGCTTTTTGGGGTATAGTATTTTATATAAGGAAAATAATCTTACCGGGCTTAACCACAAAAAGCACGACTCCTGTGTTCAGGGTTTTGGGAGATGTCATGGGCTCCCGTACCAGCCCGCGCCATGCTACAAAATCCCCCCATGCTTCCCTCTTGGTTAGGATTACTTCAGAATAGTTAAGACTGAAAGATGGGAACCTAGGGGGGATACGGTCGACATAACAAATCCTGCATGACCCTTATTATTGAGAGTTGCGGAAACATAGTGGGCTACGGTCCGGCAGGATTTTGGTCCCAAAGGGTCCATGGAGGTATATGGTATATACTTAGGGCCCAGACAGTTTCCCATATACCTATTGTAAGTATATACCATATACCTACATGGACCCTCTGCGAGTATCAACAGCAGCGCAGGAGGAGTGGTAGGGGAACCCGTGAACCCGTGAACTTTGTATTGGCTCCTTGAAGCTTTGCTGTCTTTCTTCCCTAAGCAAAATGGAACCCTAAACCCTAAACCCATGACGACTCAGTGTAGCAGCAGCAGCAGCAGCAACAACAACAACAACAGCAACGAAAAGAGCTTGCAGCAGCTTCCAGTAGCAAGTGACATGTTCCGTAATTAAGGGTCCAGGTACTTGATAATCATATGATAGCCCAAAGCCTGTACTGCAATTACTACCACCACAACCCCAAGTACCTGACCATCGGGGACTTAGGCCCTTAGGGTTACATAATAATTGCAATGGTAGTGGTGCCAGGATTAATCGCAGTAGCAAAGTTTGACATCCGATAGCAATGACAAAGTTTGACACAGTGGCAACATTGATGAGGAACAGCCATTTCCGCAACCGCATGGACGTGCTCGATGGCTTCTATGCCCTGCTGGTTGGAGAATGGTGCGGTGATGACAAGATCTTCCAATACTGGCAGAAATATTTCCAGAAGCCGAATCTGAATTCATAGGGCATCTGTAGCACTAAAGCAGGCTAGGGAGAGTAGGATACCCCGAGCAACTCTAAACCATGTGCCTAGTTCCACTCGGCAGAGCACGATTGATTCAGAATTGTCAACTTTCCGTCCTTGGGCGGATGGCCTAAGGGTTTAGGGCGGGTGTTTAGAATTTAGGGATTCGAGTTTAGCGTTGAGGTTGCCTAGCAATTTCCTGAAGAAAGCAGGACTACACACATGAAAGTGAGCCCCGATGAGGATGATGATGGTGGTGATGATGATGATGCTGGTCACCAGCATCATCAGTCCAATCGGAGGCCTTGCAGTAGCCCCTGCCCAGCCCATACAGGCATCCGGGGGCCACTTTTCAAAAACAGCCGTTTTCATGTGGGGGATCTCGGGAACCTCTAAAATCCTTCCCTTGCCATAGGGATTTGCTTCCGGGAAACATGTAAATTTGAGCTTGCTTTGGGGGTGGGGTCCGGGAGGGCTCCTTGGAGAAGCGGAGGTCCAATGCGTCTGCTCCTTGGCAAAGCCAGGAAGCATGCAGCTGGCAGCGGACACCCAAGGGCGTTGCCCGATTTTAGGCCTAGCGGCAGGGTCCGGCCCTGCCGCCTTTGTAGCCAACAGCAAGAGACAGCAAGGTAGACCATAGTAGAATCCAGAACGGTCGGAATAGTGGTTGTAAATGGCAGCAGTACGGCCTGGACGAGCGAAACGGACCCCCTGGCAATGCTGATGATGCTGATGTTGCTGCATCATCAACATGGGGGGGGCCTATTCTCCATTTGTTGCCCTAGGGATCCAAATAGCCCAATGTAGGTAATATTTACAGACTTTGGGGCCCAATGTAGGGATTATTTACACACATGGATCCCTAGGGTTGGCCTGCCCACTAAAGGTGTAAACACGGGCTCCGCCCTGGACCATGGCGACAGGCCCGGATTTTTGGCCGAGCGGCAGGGGCCGGCCTTGCCGCCAAGAGACAGCAATAACAACACAGGCGCAGCAACAACAACAATAGCAGGCGCAGCGACTAACAAGGTAACAGGCGCAGTAACCATCAGGAAAAGAAGTACATCATAGTGGAAGTACATCATAGTTAAAGTAGGAATGGTCGGAGTAGAAATGGTGAATGACAGCAGTAGAGTAGAGCCTGGAAAAGAGAAACAGACTTCTGACAATGCTGATGATGCTGACGATGCGGCATCATCAGCATCATTGGGGGTCTATCTTCCATTTTGTTGGCTCTCCTGTGCCGCTTGGCCTGTCCTTCAGTCCAAACTCTTCTTGGCCCAGACCCTTTCCGTGCTCATGATATTTTTGGCGGGGGCCTGGAAGACACGAAAAAAACATTGAAAAATCCTTCCATATGCTGCGGGGAAGCTTAGAATTCACGGGTGTAACTGAAAGTGCCTCTAGGGTGGCAAAACGGACCCCCAATTGTGCTGATGATGCCGCGTACGAGGCGCGTGCGCGCCTCGTACACGAACATCATCAGCACCATTGTGGGTCCGCGTTCCTATGTTTCGCTACTCAAGTGATTTTCGGGTCACTTGCACCTCTTTTCAAACTGTTCCAGACGCTGAAAAACCATTAGTCCCATAAAACCGCTTCTCAAGTGACCCTCACTCCGCAGATTCATCGGCACCATGATAAAAGATCCACGTGAAGGTATGAAACAAAACCACCGGATCATCTTGTAATCTTCATGAAGCCGGCACGTGCGCTGGACCTGAGCACCCACACACAAATCCCATGAAACCTGCATTAAACCGCAGAAAACTTGCATAGAACCATCATAAATCCTAGAGCCCGTCACCCCATTTATCAACAAGAGAACAGGACCTTCCAAACCTACAAAAACATCTCGGGTAGCAGTAACATATTTTTTCGTACATGTCTCTCAATAAGGAGCATCAGCATGGGCTTGGCTTTCACATGATGGCTGAGTGTGCGGGGGGAGGGGGGGGGGGCTGCGAAAACCCAATAAAACCATCATAAAACAAGTGTAAAAACCCATCACCCCATCCATCAACATCCCCGTGGCAAGCCTACCATGGATCTCACGAAGACTCATGATAGCCTCCATGGTTCCAACATCCAACATTCAGGAACCCCATCAGGCCTGGCCCAGTGGGCACAGGCAGCCTAGAANNGGAGAAACGGGACCCCAATGATGCTGATGATGCTGGCCAAGGGGGCCAGCATCATCAGCATCATTGGGGGTCCGTTTCTGAATTTTTGGCCTCCCATGCACCCAATGACCCCTGATGGAGTCTAGATTTTCTCACCCGTACCCCGAGAGCTAAGAGGAGCCTTGGGGCTAGTTTTCAAAACGGCTAGTGCTGATGATGCAGATTTGGGGGGGTTTTGGGGGACCCTTCAAAACTCCTTCCGTGCCGTGGAGATTCGCTGTTCATGTGATTTTTGGAGTGGTTTTGGAATGGGGTCGGGGGAGGGGTCCTCGGAGAAACGGATGTCTGATGATGCACGGGAGGGCGATAAGGAGTGGTGGGGGGTGGTAAGGGGTCGGTAAGTCCGTTTTAAATCCGTAGTGCCACGATGGGTTTTGCACCCCTTGGCAACCAGAGCGGAAGTACGAACACAGCTTCACGGGCGCCACCCCACAAGCGGGTCGGCGGATAATACCCCTCAAGTACCCCATAAAACACGCTTCCTGAACCCTAAACCTCAAACCCTTACTAAGTCCCCAAGCCCTCTAAGAAAGGAAGGGCCCGGAGTGGATCCTGGCGCATGCGCCCATAGTCCACTTCATCGCCGGGTGGAAGCCATGGCGCCTGACAACACCCGAGCTGCTAAAGGGAAAGTGCCCAAAGGCTCAACCACAACTGCTTCAGGTTTTTGAACCTCGGCGGCTTATGGTTGAGGGTTTACTTTTGAGCTCCAGGTTTTGCCTATATTCCACAGTTCAGACCCTAGACCCTAAATCCTAAACCGCCAGGCTGGACTCGGAATGTAACAGCAGAATCATTCCGTTCTGGCTCAGGGATTTAGAGTCTAGGGTTTAGGGTTTTGGGTTTAAGAATTTAGAGTTGCAGATTATGAGGTTCAGGCCCAACTTTTCCGGTCCCGAACCTTACGTTCCCGCAGGTTGGGATAAGGCCTTCCAATACATATCTGTGATGGTGGTTTCACAATTTTTCAATCACGAATGTAGAGTTGGATAATATCTTCCGTCAGGGAATAATCTTTTATAAGAAGGAAATAGTCTCACCTGCTTCAAGCAAAAGAAGCACTGCGCAGCTGAGGATTCGTGGTGGAAAGCGAAGGCACGCGTTTGTTGATTGCACTGGCCCACGTACGGTTGATATTAGAAATCCAGCGAGGCTTAGGGTTTGGGGCTAATGTAGGAATGTTTTGTATCAACAGCAGGGCTGTGCAGCATTACACCCGCGCTTGATGATGGCCAAAAGAAGTCCCACAATGTCCTGGACAGTCGAAAGCAAGCTGCATTCCATACGGGAATTGTGGCAGCGGCCTGTACAGTCCTGTAGCAGCTGTCACGTGATAGCTGTGCCGCATTTCAGCGGCATTGCTGCTACAAAAGCAGCTGGCATCCAGCTGCTACCAGGACAGTGTTGTCAGCGCACCCCCACAAAAAGGACCCCCGACCCTAAGGCTTCATCAAGATCAAGCTGTTGTTAAACAGCTGTTTGAGTGCTTTTCTAGGGTCCTTTGTGGAGGTGCGCTCTTATGGTTGCATGGTTATCTCCGCACGCAAAGACGCGCGCATCAAGACACAAAGTGACACCTCTCAAAACTGCATGCAAGGACGTTCCAAAACTCCAAACCCTTAACCTTATGCCCTGAACCCTATCTGCTGCTGGTGGCTTGATATCTCAAGCCGCGGAGTAGTCGATCTCAAAAAGCATGACTGTAGGGTAAGGGCTTAGGGTTTGAGGTTTAGTCTTTGAGGTTTAGGGTTTGGGGTGTAAGGTTTGGCGTTTGGGGTTTAACGCTTTCAGGGTCAGCATGGCATCTGGGATTCCTTTGGGTCCTCATATAGCTGTAGGATGAAATACACCTCAATGCCTCATGTTGTAGCGGTATATCAAACCCTTAAACCCAAACACTTAAACCCAGTCTCAATTCTAATACCTCAATAAAATGGGGTAGTTATTTCCGGCTATATCACTCGCGCGGGGCCTAGGCTTTCCGGCTCTCTATTCAAATGCCGCATACGCGCTCCCCAGGAATTCTAAACAGTTAGAGTTTCTAAATCTCTTCGGAGAGCTTGAAGATCAATTTTCGCCATTATCCCAATATGACCCCAATATACTATAGTAGTTTCCATTTCCTTTTCCATTATCCCAGTATGGAGGGCGTGCGCATGCGTTTTGGGGGGTCTGGGGTCAACTCTGCAGTGCAGGCTGAGGAAGCCATTTATATACCAATGTGCTGGCGAAGATTAATGTTTTCCGCGCGCCAGGAAAGCATAGTGAGGAGGAGGAGTTATTTTGGTTGGGCTGATCATATGTAGACTCTGAGTCAGCATTTTCTCATCATTCTCTAGGCTTTCTTGGCTTTCCATTCGATACATGAATTGTTCTGCCACTGTGACCCTAAACCCTAAACCTTAAACCCTTGCCGCAACCCCTAAACAGGTCCGCGCTTTTAGAGATATGCCTAGCTCCGAGCCTAGTTTGAAGCAGGTTAGAATGCTACGGCTTGAAGTTTAGGGTTTTGAGTTTAAGGGTTGGGGTTGCATATCTGCTTGCAAATCAAAGAGCACCGCCCCTCGCAATTTTCTATGTTGCGGTCTGCTCAGGACTTAAGGTGTAGGGTTAAGGCTTTCACATTTTAAGCCTGAAGCCGAAGCCCTAGAATCCTGAACCCTGAACTCTGTGCATACCTATACTTTATACTCTCGATATAAGCCCTTTAAAAAGCGGGAAAATACACGACAGTCCATAATCCCTTTGTGTGCAGTCGCCCATTATCATGATTGAGGCCTGAGCATCAGCCCAGAGGAGCCATAGTGAAAACTCCTTGAAGGGGGTCATATGCGGATTGTATAGGTGACCACTATCGAGTTATACCCTAAACCCTAAACCCTAAACCCTAAACAAGGGGGATACTAGGCATTGAGACTATGGCTCAAATGAGCTAGTGTCAATGTCAAGCTTAAAAAGGGACCATGAAAGGTTTAGGGCTTAACGGCTTCGATTTTTGGATTTCAGGGTTTAGGTCAATGTTAAGCTTACAAAAGGCCCATATTGGGTTGAGAGTTTAAAGTTTAGGAATTTAGGGTTTACTTGGAGGCCCAAGAGATTTAGTAAGTACTTAGAGCTGGGCATATAACCCTACTTGTAATCCCCCTAAATGGGCTTGTAGGGGCTACCCCAATTATACGTATTTTTATAAGTCCAGTTATATGTAGTTACTAAGTCCCATGAGCTTCCAAGTAGGTCGCTGCTGAGCTTACAAAGAGACCATAAAGGGTTGAGGATTTAGGACTTAGAGTTTGGGATTTCAGGGTTTAGGTCAATGTTAAGCTTACAAAGGGGCCATAAAGGGTTTTGGGTTTAGGACGTAGAGTTTAGGATTTTGGAGTTTCGAGTTTAGGTTTGTAGCGTTTAGGTCAATGTTAAGCTTACAAAGAGACCAGGAAGGGTTTTGGATTTAGAGCTTAGAGTTTTGGACTTGCGGTTTAGGGCTCATAGCTTCCGCAGCTGGATCGGTTTTGCTTTCGGTATTTAACCCTACTTTGGGGAAACCCGAGACATGACCCCTAAGCCCTAAACCCTAAGCAACAGTTTCCATTTTATTTTCCATTTTCCCCATATAACCCCAATATATTCCCAAACCCTAAACCTTGGGTACTGCCCCCACCCAGGAACAGCCTATATTAGGGGTCCTATTAAGGGCTATATATAACCATATTATATTCATTATCCAACTGTTACTGAGGGGGGGGGCAGTACCCAACCTAAACCCTAAACTAATCCTAAACTTGAAGGTAATTTTCTTGTGTTGAACCATCCTAAGTTCAACCTACGTCCTCAACTCTTCAACACCCAACCCTAAAGCCTAGATAAACCCTCAACCCTAAAGCCTAAAGGTTTAGGGTTTAGGGTTTAAATTTTCAAGCCTAAACCTTAAATAGTAGTTTCCATGTTCTTTTGCGATGTTCCTATATAACCCCTATAGAACCCCTATATACTTCCCTTAAAAGCCTAAATACACCCTAAATCTAGGAACTTTAGGAGGGACCCCTAATAGGGACCCTTAATCCCATTACCATAAATAACCCTTATATAGT